AACCGTTCACATCTGTTCACACGACCACCCACTGAAATGTTGCCATGTTAGAGAATTGACCCATGTGTTTTTCCTCAAAGAAATCAGGAATGCTTAAGAAGCCATTCACACATGATGTGTTTTTAATATGCAGCAGGGCAGTGCTGCGAATAAAAAAAGAAAAGAAGACAAACAAGGTGCAGAGAGTTGAACTTTTAACGCTGCGTTTTTAGAACGGGTTGTCGCTGCAAAAGACCTGAGCGCAACGGGCAAACACATCCGTCTAGCGCATGTTTACATAGAAAAACTATGGAAAAGCAGCACCGCGAAATGCAAAAATTCAGTGTGAATGGCCCCTAGGCATTCACAGAACATTTTTTTGCGGTTAAAAACCAAGAAAAAAAATTAATACATCAGGTCTAGAGACGTTTTTTCAAAGTTTTAATTCTTTTAACTTGAGTGCCAAACTCGAGAGCATTGTGTCATGCACAAAACACTGCAAAAGATGCCAAATGTTCAGTCTAGTGTGTTTACATAGAAAAATAATGGAAAAGCAGCGCATTGGAATGCTAAAACACATTCTGTGTGAATGGCCGTTAAGCCTGGTCTAAACCTGGTTTATGCGCGTTGCTCGCCACAAATAAAAAAATTAATTACAGTTAAAAAGGAAAGAATTTCAACTTGACTGAATGTTCTAGGATCAGATTAGAATGTGATCGATTTTTAACTAATGTGCTGGAAACAAATATGGAAAATAAAAACATCTGCCAATCTTGAACAGATCTTAAAGCTGAAGTCGGCAAGTCTGGCAGATTGAGTGGACTTAGGCAAAATTTTGAATGTTTACAACTCTCATGCCCCTCCCCCACTATCAACCGATACCCTCCCCCCGAGTTCGTGCTCGTCAGTGTGTGTGCACCAGGTTATCTGTGAACACGCCCGTCTCATCAGCATCCATCAACACCATGGAGTATTTGGAGGTATGCTGTCCTGGCTAATATACCGATAGATTGCAATTGCTAACGTCATTTACACTCTAAATGAGCTTACTTGATTTGTTAGTGTTTTGAAAGCGAGATACATCCGCCATCACTGCGCAAACTTCAGGCGTGTGCATGTGATTGTAACGTGCGTGAGGGGTGGCGTGTGCCCGATCTGTGATTGACAGTCGGCGCTGATTGGACCCGATGATCCGGGAGCGGTAGATTTTTGCAAAACAAATAACACGCTCCAGGTGGAGTTAGAAGCTCAGGTTTTTTGTCTAAAACCACTTTATTTATGTTGTTCTGTCGGATTATAGTGTCGATTTCACTGAAAATGATCAAATTTTTTTTGCCGACGGCAGCTTTAAGCCAGCACCACTATTGCTAGGATTTGTATTAAAAGAGAAAACATAAATATTAAACTTTGGCAACATTTGAGCTACTAACATAAACGATACTGCAAAATGTGCAACATATTCTAAGTTTGCACTCGTTGGATGACCAAATATAAAAACCATTTGTGACCTTGTGACCACCCATAACAATCTAGTTAGCCACATAGAAATAGCAACCATCCAGAACACCTTTGTAACCACCTAGATATCCCTACGAACTTTTACATTTTTAAAAGTAGTTTTAAAAATGTTTTTCTAGAACATCTTGTCGCGTGTGAGACGCTGCAAAAGGTGCGAACAAACACGTCAGTCTAGCGTGTTTATATAGAAAAACAGTGGGATGCACTTTCTTTGTGAACAATGCATTGGTAAGACCCCACATCAATCACAACAATCTAGTAACCACATAGTATGGCCATAGTAACCACCCAGAACACCCTAACAACCACCTAGCAACACCCTAGTTGCCTAGCGGTACCATAGCAACTTTGGAAGCGTATTTCCGCCACTGAATAAAAATTCCACAAAAAAATAAAATCGCTTTTTTTTTTCAGAATTGGACTTTATAACTCACATTTGCGAGAGAAAAACATACAGAATTGCAAGAAAAAACATAATTGCAAGTTTATAATATTAGAATTACGATATAAACTCGCAAATGACTTTTTTCCCCTCACAATTTGAGACTCTCTCGCAATTGCGAGTTTATATCCCCCAATTCTGACTTTTTGTAATATAAACTCACAATTGTGAGGGGAAAAAAATCTGAATTGTAAGATAAAAAGTATTATTTTATTCCATGGCAGAAACAAGCTTCCATAAGCAACCCTCAGAACAACCTAGTAACCACTTAGACATCCTAGCAATGCCTTAGCAACTGCCAAGAGCACCCTAGCAACAACCCAAAACAATAATATTCCATAGTGACCTTTCAGAACACCCTAACAACCACTCAAATATTTTGACGGCCAGATTGTCACAGTAAGGACGTCTTATATTTTGTCCAGAAGATGGAGTTTTTCCCCAAAATTAAAAAATGTCTTGTTATAGGTGCAGTGTTATAGTTATGATAGGCTATTTGAAAAGTTTGTAAGTATGATCCATCGATTTTGCATTTAAATGCCGGTGTCTCAAGCGACTTTTAATGAAGGTAATGTAGCTGATCACATTCATCACAGTGAGCCAGTACATGACATACACTGACATCCACTCAGTTACTAAACTCTGGTGACCTGAGCTCAAGTGTACATGTGACTATATGCAAATTTGCAGTCAGTTTTGTTACACATTAACTTGTTTGATTTATCGTTGTCTGTATAAATACTACAAAAAAGATGTCATGTGAAGTATTCTACATGTTTCAAGTTATCCAAGCTGTCTCTTTTAACTTGTTTTGTATGGTATTGTAAAATACGGTAGCTACACAACAAGTGCAACCTTGTTGTACTTACAAATCCAGCAAATCCTCAAGTGCAGTACAAACTGTAGCTGTATGAAATTACAGTGTGCTAGTATTATTGTCATTTCTGTACATTTGTATTATTGGGGACAGCTGTTTACTGTATTTGTGTATGTGTTGGTCGTCGTAACATCTAACCACTGCTAAACACTGCCAGGACTGCCAATCCCTTCCACAGTATGTGGAGCTGATCCACACACCAGTTTGTGTCTTAAGAACAAGTATCGATGGCTCAGAGATTCAACTTGTTTTGGACCAAATTTCTGAGTTGAGCGGGAGCGTGCAGCCAGAGACAAAGTTTGTAAAAAAAAAAATGCTAATGTTGTTATTTTATTTATAATGCATATGAAATCTAAGCAAAGAGTTGCTTTTGTGCTGGATCTGAAATAAAAAATTGTTCAAACTTGTTTAAAATAGTTTTTTTTCTCCAGCAAAGCTGTTTTTTCTTTTCTTTTTTACCACAAACTTTGGAACAAAGAGTGTGCATTAGCGCCCGGTCAATTTTTAAGCACTTTTGGTTCCGTATTTTTTCCATTAATTTCTCCTTTAAGAATTTTTTTAAAATCTTTGTTAAAGCGTGCCATGAACCAAGCTAATCAGCTACAAGGTGAATCATAACAATAAAAACTTTGATTTGAACAATTTATTTAAAAATGTTGGTTATATACATATATAAACACAATCTATTTTAAGTTTTTTGCAAAATATGCACATACAAATATTTAAGTATTTTGCATAATTTCGTAAGTGCATTTTACGCCATGTTGTTTTCCTGCTGCATGTCCTAATTTTCAATAAAGTTTCGGAAAAAAAATAAGACGTAAAAACAGAATTAAGATTCTAGTCCACACTGGACCTATAAACATTAACATTAAACACTTAGCGCCACCATGTGGCCAATTCATTCAAAATGTAGCTAATTTAAAACGCCTTGCAAATATTTTGAATTTCATGATGAGGAAATGTTCACAAGGAAAATGACTGATGAAATATGAACTTTGTCCTCACTATCCCTAGGGTTGACTGGAGATTTTCGAAGGCATGTCGTCTGAATGTTGCACTGTGGTGTCGTTTAACCTTTGCTAAAGCCTTGTTTGTCAGAGAGCAGGGCTGGATTTTCACACAGAACCACTGAATGTTTAGGGCTGTTTGTTTGTGAATATGGCAGCATGGAGAACTAAAGCAATCAATTATTTGAAAATGTTAGGCTAAATAAAGAAACTACAAATGGACTAATAAACAGGCATGCAGACAATGAATCAATCAATGTATTGTGTAGAAAGCAATAAAGTTACAAAGCTCTGTAGTTAAAACAAAATACTATCATCCTGGCACATTTGACATATTATGATTTTTTGTGCATGAAGACTGTTCTAAAGTCTTCTTTTTAAAATCCTCTGGATAATGAGAAAGGGATCAAAACTGAAACCTGCCAATGTTGGTTTGATTTTTTTCCTATTTAAAGAATTAAGAATAACTTCATAATCTAAGTCTATAAGTCTTAATCTCATGCAATGAGTAAGAATAGTCTTACGGCGTTTCTTAAATATTAAATGAATCTTCAGTGAATTGATTATGGTGTTTAACGACAGATTTGTTAGCAGGGTGTGTGAACAAACAACCATCTGAGTCAGTCATGAATGACCGGCGCCTCAAAAGCCTTTGGCCCCTTTAACCTGGTAATATTTCTGTCTAAACATGCCTTTTAAAATCTCCTACCTTTTCATTTCGCTTAATACTACAAAGTATTCTACAAAGTATTCTAATTAATTCTACAAAGTAATTTCCAGACCACTTTGAACCACTTAGCCGAGTTTGTCTATTGTGAGTCATATATAATTTTCGCTAAATTAAATGGAAAACAAAATTAGGAGACTTTGACTGTGATGATCCCCCCCTAACTAAACACATTTTCACTTAAAAAAATAACTTGGGTCGAGAAATGTGTAGCCTATGCTGTATTTTTCTTTTTATATATATATAGATTTTAAGAGCTATTCATGCAAAACTTTTATATAGCCTACTTTTGAGGCCACACACGTTTATTTTATATATAGGCTAATATAATAGAAATACTTATAATTAATTGATTTAAATTTGATTTGATGGATATATGGGAAGTTTTTAACGGAGTGAATCACTGAATAATCAGTGAATCATCTAATATTTGTGCTCCGCCCCTTGAATTACAGGCGGGGTTTATTGTTTTCTCGTGCATGTCGTGGATATTTATGTCTGTCTGCGGTCCGTTACATTGTTTGATTTCCGTGTTCCTGACGGAATATTGTTTTATTCACATTTACAAACTCTCGATACTGACTGTAGATGTAACTAAACAGTCAGTGATTCTTTTGAGTCGTTTGAAGGTTGGCGCGTGAGAACATACAAAACCGAGTATGAATAAACACTGAAGGGAAAACGCTTATGGAGCCTGTTTATAATGGTGAGATTTTTTGTTTTTATATATTTTTTATTGAATTACATTGTAAATGTTTAATTTTGTTTCTTTAGGCTATCTTTCAGATAAATCGTGTTTTAAAAATCGATTGAAATTAGTGTGAACTGCCTTTCCAAGCGTTGTTCAAATCCCTAAAAATGTACTATATTGCTTTCAGCTCGTCCTGTTTCGTATTGTTATGTTGCACAAAATAATCACTTTAAATTTTTCCGTAAATTAACTTTTTTTTATCGGAATACTTTATCATCAACAAATAGCATGTACAAGGGTAACTTCCATATTAGCCTACAGCAGAAGAACATATCACATGGTTTACAATGTAATAGAAATTGAAAGAAAAAGAGACAAAAAAACAAGAAGAACATCAGAGAGGGTACATATCTATATTGTTGAATAAACATAGATACGTTTTGTGAAAATGTTAAGTTAACATATTGCAGTTGTTTTAATTGCTTTGCTATTTTTCAATTTTGACATCACATCTATGCACATTTTAATCTCATCCTCAAACACTGTAAAATTGGGTTTGCTATTTGTGAATTTACATTTGTGGATATGAAATTTACATAAAAATAAAATGTATAATGAAACCAGCATCCTTTGCGCAATGGTCTTTAAAACAGTAACCTAATATCTCATACTTATTGGATAAGAGAATATTTTTAATAAATCAATAAAATAATTATAATTATAATAAATTTATTATTTTTAATAAAGCAATAAATCTCTCAACATCTTTCCAGAAACACTGTGTACCTTGGCAGGACCAAAACATATGAGAAATGGTTTCAGTAGAACTTTGACAGAAAGAGAAGTTGATTTCAATATCACTTTTATTTTTTTTTGTAAAAATAGCTTGGTAGGATAAACTCATGGATTATGTTATATGAGATTTCCTTAACCTTATTTGTAAGGAGGAATTTTTGGGGTAACGACCAAAACTTGAGTCCAATATACATTATTAAACACATTGTCACAATAGAAAATAACAGGAGGAGTGGAAATATTCTCTTTTAAAAATAGAGATATAACTTTATAATTGTTAGATTTTAACTTGGAAAAGCAAATTGAGCCGACTGGGGTATTTACAGGTCTGGCAGGACAGACGGAGAGTGCAGACATATAGACATTATTTCTAATAAACACACCCACCCCAGCAGGTATAGTCTTTTTAATTACACTTAATTATTTGAATGTAATAATATATTACATTAAAAAGACAAAATATTTCATATTTTGAGATAAAGTCTACAAACTCAAATAAACTCCCTTCAATAGTGAATAACGGACTCCCCTTTCCTCTGTCGTCTCTTCTCTCAGGGCTTCTTGATCTTCAGGAAATGATTGATATTTAAAGCACCATGCCTCCAGTGACCTCTCAGGAACTCCCTCTCAACATCTATGTGGTCATCTTTGGCACTGGGATCTTTGTCTTTGTCTTAAGCCTGATATTCTGCTGCTTCTTTATAAGGTAAGTGAGTGTGGCTGACACTATCATGTTTATAAAGCTGGACTTCATCAGGGTTCTCCTGTAAATAACGACTGTGACAGACTGACAGAAAGGACTTCCTCTGGCCTCACGCGCTTCCGAACACGAACAATTCAGGACTAGATTGTATCTCCACGCTTTTTGTTCACTATGCTATTTTTGACCAAAGGCTTTTGGGTAATGTTATGTCAAACACAGAGAGAAGCAAACCTTCCCAGGGCAAATCTGTGTGGTTTAGAAACACACTACACACAGCACAACCACTGCTCGTACTGCAGCCAAACTGATGTCTAGATAGAGATGTACTTGATGGATACACAAACAAACACACAATATATGCAATATAAGTATTTAATTCAAATAATTAAATTGAATTAAATCATGAATATACATAAATAGATATATACACACATACACTGCCCGGACAAAAAAAAAGTTGGTGTTTGGATTTAAATAGGCAAATGCTTAAGAGTCTATTGCTATGTTTCCATCACCCTGTTTTTATGCGCATTTTCAAGTGTATTTTGCTGAATAAATTCTGACGTAAAGAACATTAAATCCCACGTGACTAATCGGATGTTTCCGCTGATGGTGTTTTATTTTGAAATGATTCGCTTCACGTTTGGATGGAAACCCAGTTTATGATTGGATCATTATTGCAGTGATTATGATGTTTCTAGCATGTTTATGTTTGGCAACAGTTCTTCTAACCCTAATTGATGGAGTGTGTAGCTTTTCATTTCTTAAACCACCATGTATGAGACACATCATGGCCATATTACAGGATGATAATGTCAAGATTCATCAGGCTCAGATTGTGAAAGAATGGTTGTGAGGATCATGAAGAATCATTTCCACACATGAATCGTCTCCTCTGAGTCCAGAGCTTAAATTCATTGAGAGTGTTTGGGATGTGCAGGAGGAGACTTTACAGAGTGCTGGACTCTTGCATAGACAAAACAAGTCCAATATTTGACCAAAAAATGATGCACCTCTTGATCGAAATAACATCACAACATTTAATTCTTCATGCTAATCCCAACCATTCTTTCACAATTTGAGCCTGATGAATCTTGACATTGTCATCCTGGAATATGGCCATGATGATAATATTTATTTAAGTTATGAATATTATCTATTTTTAATTCAATCAAAATAACATCAACCCTGTTAATGAAATGTGCGGCCTTTTTCTCTGCGCAGTAAATTGAGACACCAGGCTCGGAATGTGAGAGCAGGATACAAAATGGTGAGTGTGTGATGCGAGGCATCAAAAAGTATTTGTCACTTAAAAATGTCTATGTCAATCGTTTTGGCTGAGAACAAAGTGAAGTTTCATAACTTTATATTTAGGCTATTTTAACGTTGTATCCTGGTGTGTGTGTTGACTGAAGCTATACTATTTGTTTATTTTATTGACTAAACTATTTACTATTACTTCTCACTTTATGTTATATTTACTATTTGCATTGCACTACTTGTACCGTAACATATGTATTATCATAAAGGATCCATCAGTTATCTTTGTTATTGCTAAAATCTGGCCAATCACAAAAAAATGCTTTTTCCATAATAAGAAAACTTAAATTATATCTCAGTATGGGGGTCTTCACCATTCTTATCCAAGAATAAAAAGCCAGATACATGACTTGACCATTCTTTGTTAAAAAAAAATATTTTACAAGTCTAACTATCGAGATTTTAAATAACTAGAGATGGAACTTTTTGTACACCACATACAAACCACTGAAATCGGTTGATAAATGTAAAAACAGTTTGTTTTTATCCAGAAAAAACGCAGCTCACCCGTTTACTTACATTTGATTACAGTGCAGTCTTGCCCTCCGCAAAATGGCGGACCCGTTGACGTATCGTATTCTTTTACTGTCTATGATCGCAGCAACGTTCCAAAGCGGCCAATGGGGCGTCTATGTATTTATTATGTCTATGGTCCCGACTGCAGTGCTCTTCGGTTCCGTGTTTACTTTTCGGCGCAGTACTACTAACCGGAGCAAAGTAAAATTCCACCGCTGCTGAGAAACTAGTTCCTGTAAATGTATTGCGATCATTGAGATGCAAGACTAAGAGTACTTAACTCTACCATTATTCTCTCAACAGACATTTACATCGATAGTCTGGCGTTATAGTTTATTTGCTTTTCGTGTTCTGTGGAGTGGGTAAAACTGTTTTTAATGGCAGGATAGCAGTTACCGTTGACTCGCGCTAGCCTAGCACCGGCGAACTATGCAACTGGAACGACTGGATGAAATTTTTTGAAAACTGTCTCCACTGATAAATAACACTAAGACTAACTTGGAAATGAGGCCCGATGTCCAAAATCCTGAACCACCCCTTTAAGGACAGGAAATTCTCACTTTCATGTAAACTTGCTGAATTGAAAAGAAATTCACATTGTGTTTTGATGTTTAAATGGGGACTTTCCATAGACATAATGATTTTTATACTTTACAAACTGTATATTATATCCCCTTACACTAAACCTACCCATCACAGAAAGCTTTCTGCATTTTAGATTTTTTCCTCATGGGGACCAAAAAATGTCTCCACAAGGAGAAGGATTTTGGATATTGCTATCATTGTGCGGATATCTTCTCTCACACACTAGAGATATTCTAGTAGAATTCTCATGGTTTTGGAAAATCACAATACTTGATTTTCAAACTTCTCTTTGTTAAATGTATTCTCAGAAAATGTGCTTGTGCCATTTCAAAGAAATGCTGCTTGTCGATGCAATGAAATTCAGACATTTTTAAGTGTGTAAATACTTCATTTAAAGCATGTTTTAAATTACAGGTCGTATTTAAAGATGAAACGTCGCGGATACATGCACATGGGGTAAAACACCTTCTGTCTTCTTGACTATTTTGAAAGTTTTGAAACCGTTCTGATTTCCCCCTCTTACACACTGTGTTTCTCAGTTAACATGTGCAGTCTGTTTGGAGGACTTCAGGACAAAAGATGAGCTCGGAGTGTTACCATGCCAACACTCCTTTCACAAGAGGTAAATCCCCTTTATCGTGTTAATGGCATTGAGGAAAAGACTCCTTACAGCCAGACTAGTTTCAGGATAGCAGTTCTGATGCTCTGTCTTACCAGGTGTCTGGTGAAGTGGCTGGAAGTGAGATGTTCATGTCCCATGTGCAACGATAACCCCAACAGCGCTGCTCTGGGACAAACACACAGCCCGGGAAACTTGCTGGATGAGATGGTTTAACTCCTCCAATGAAGAGGCTCTGACACATTTTTACATAGAAACCTTGTAGAGCTCAAGCGAATGGACTCGATCTAAAAACACTGCTGTTGTAATACATCATTTGTAATGTTTTTGTATATGTGGTTAAAAAGGTTCACACACAATAAATATTGTGAGTTTCTTTATTTGGTGTCCTGTGGTAATATGGAAAATAATAGATTTCCTTAAACTTGGGAGGGCCAGAAAAACCATGCTTATTTCAAATAATGTGCATATTGCTGGGCCTATGCAGTTCATTTATTATTAATAGGTTACACAAACATTTCATCATTGGATTTTAAGGACATTGTTTACTTGAAGCAAAAAAATTTATTTCTATTTTAGTATCATTGCAATACTGAAATAGTTATTACTATTTTGATTTGTTTTTGGTAATATTTTATTTGAAAGTTTTAGTAATTTGGTGTGTTTAGTTTAGTAATTTCTTATTTTTATTCATTTACTCTAGCACATCAAATTAAACAATGAAAATACTATCTAAAATAAAAAGTTTAATTTTATGTCAGTTAATGTTTATTTTCAAGTAAAATTACTTATTTTAGCATCATTGCAATACTGAAAGAGTTTTACTATTTAGATTTTTTGGGATATATTTTTTATTAATTGTGTGTATTTGTATTTATGTTTATACAATTTTAATTAGTTAAATTAATTTGCTATTAAATAAACAATGAAAAAAATCTTATATTTTTTCAGTGAATGTTCATTTTCAAGTAAAGAATGTTTTTTTATAGATTGTTTTAGTGAACCACTGCACTAGTGAAGTAAGCAGGGCGCCACCTGCTGGTCAACAGAAACAACTGCAGCAGCACGCTGCCATTTTGGAACCAAAACAGACTTTAATGGGCTCCTTATGAATGACTTCTATATTACAAGAACACAACAGCACAATGAGAAATAAAAGATCTCTGGATTGCTCCGCAACAAATGAGTTGAGCTGTCTGTTCTAATGAAAGAAAGAAAGAATACAAAAACATGTTGAAAGGAATCTTGATCCATCTTTAATCCATGTTTAACAAATTAAGTCCTGGGGACTGTTGGAATACATAAAACAGGACCATGACACATGGAATAAGCATCTCATTCAGGAATGGCAATAAAAAAAGAAATCTATATAGTAAGGAATGTGCATGGTTGGGATGGGAAGGAGGTGTAAGCGACGATTAAAGTTGGCCACAGTCAGCGATCACGACCTTGGCGGAGCACTTCCCGCTGCTGCTTCCTTTGGCCTCGATGGCGTCCACCACGTTTATGCCTTCTACCACTTTACCGAACACAACGTGCTTGCCATCGAGCCTGTTCATGGAGAAACCAGAATTAGGGATTACGTCACCAAATCTAAATACAAAATCAGTTAGACGGCAGAAGGGCACAGTCACAAAGAAGGGCTTTACCAAGCGGTATCAGCGGTGCAGATGAAGAACTGGGAACCGTTGGTGTTCGGTCCGGCGTTGGCCATGGACAGGGTTCCCTTCCCTCCATGCTTCAGGGTGAAGTTCTCATCCTCAAACTTGTTGCCATAGATGGACTTTCCACCAGTTCCGTTATGGTTGGTGAAGTCGCCGCCCTGCGTGACGAGAGCATGACATCAGTGTGTGATGTCAACCACAGACTCCAATGACATCACGGGGTTCAGAGCTTACCTGGCACATGAACTTCTGGATGACGCGGTGGAAGCCGGAGCCCTTGTAGCCGAAACCTTTCTCGCCAGTGCACAGAGCACGGAAGTTCTCTGTTTGGGTATTGAGACATTAATGTGTAACTAGAAGCTAAAGTTACTAAACAAACATTGATGTCGGCTTGAGAAAGCCTGAACGGGCAGCCTTTGTATTGTAATAAATTAGCCTATTATTACAGCAAAATTATACATACATGTTAAAGTTCACAATAGTACAAGCAATGGCACAAATAAATCAGGTTTCAGGTTTGTAGGCGTTCAGATACACAATCAAATGGTACGGGTCTCCCTCTAGTGGACAGTACCGCTCCAACAGGGGGGGGGGGGCATTTTTGCTCATTAAGTCTATGGAAAACTTTCAATTTTTAATTATTATTTATACGAATACTGTAAGTCTGATCACTTTGAAAAAAAATATAGCAATAAACTTCAGAACAGGGAGTAGCAGTAAGAAAATTTAGTCTCAGAAGAAAAATATTAAGTTTAAAAAGAATTTCAGTGAGAAGAGAATGTCAACATATTCATAATAAAGCCATTTAATGTGGAAATATGCTTACCAGCAGTCTTGGGTACAACATCAGCTCTCAGCTATTTAAATAGAAGGGGAAAACAAGAAATAGAAATTAAGCTGAAGTCCAAGCAGAAACTGCTTATATATATATATATATATATAGTATGTGTGGATATCAATGGATTAGTGTTATCAATATGGCCATTTTCAGATTTTTTTTGGCATTCTCACTTATGTGTTCTATACATATTCATTTCAGTATATTTCAGTAAGTGTAATGCATAAAACCCCATATAAAACAAACTTCTTTCCAGTACGTTTTGCGATTTAACTGCATAACCACGCATGATGAAGATACGCTATTAGAGCATAACCATTCTTTGAAATGCCACATTTTAAACAATGAACAATCAAATGCAATCATTGAAGTCATACCAAATCAAATACGGAGATAAATCATAAACATGATATCTAAATTGAGTATATCCGCATCTTGATAAGCAAATATCAAAGGATAGATTTAAGGATTTGTTGTTTCTTGTTGCTGTTAAAGTATGAAGGTAAGTGACCTGTTTCTATCTTTAACTGTTCTAGACCATAAATTGGAACATAGATGTTTTGGCTGCTATGACGTTGAAAGAACCCGAACAGGTTAAAATTCCATGACTTCCGCGTCAACATCGATTTTCATTAGCGAGAGCGCGCGAGGTGCTGATAGTGCACGAGCACATTTATCGACATTTCTGCAGTACCATTTCAAGAGGGGATTAAAATCTTATGACTCAAGTCTGAGCATTCAAATCACATTTTAATATTGAGTGCTGGTGAACAAGTTTCGACAGACGGCTAAACTCCAGCATTCACCCCTCCCTTTTCAAAATGGCACCTTGGGGTTTTGAAAAAATGGTGAAAATGGCGTCTGCATAAAAAAAACGCGTGCAGCGCAACACACGCGCAGTCTGCGTCTGTAATCAGAGAAAACTCCGCCATGTGCGCTTAGCTGTCAGTCTCCTGTCAATGACAGCAGCACAACTCATTTTCTAGATGTCATTGAGAAGCATCAGGATGACTAACAGCGTTCAATTTTAACAAGAACACCGGTACCAATGTAGCGCCTGATCTACGGCGAATAGAAACATTGTTGCAGTTCGGCGCGGGAAATAACTGCTTCCCCATCCGCCCATTTCAAGATAAGGATGCTTCATACAGTTTACATGCAAATATTTAACATATTTTTTATGGACAAATACGCCAGATTTAAAAAGAAGGTGTGATGCTAAAACACAAGATACACCGCAAAACAGTCATTTTATGTTACCTACCTCAATTACAATCCTCCCAGCACTCCTTCCATCGATGGTGATGTCAAAATAAACTCTGGGGTTGGCCATGATGACAAAAAAAAATCAATTTGTATTAGCAGCTGGTCACCGAATGAATCCTACAAAATGCCGCAGCTCATCGGGAAGTAGGATGCGTGCGAAAACGGGATATATAGAAGCAGCCAGCAGACCTTTTTTTTCAATTGGAACCTATGAAGCCGTGGAACCGCTGAATGACGTGCGCGTTATCCAATCAGAGGCGGTGCGGATGAATAAATTATCGCAGCGCTCGAACGCAGCGATCAGAGGGAGTGCGTTTGATTGACATCCTCATTGGCCCGTTAGAGTAGGTAGAAATGACGTTGCTGCGTTCCATCCAATGAGCAACGAGGGAATGCTGTGGGCGTGTACCAGCGATCTGTTACTGCACGAGGGCGGTGGCCAAAGGCTGAATTCGCCATTACTGCTCAAGATTGTATCACGAATAACGAATGTTTTGAAGATTACATTTAGGAATTTTCTACATTTATTACATAGTTTGTGATTAACCAAAAGATCTTTAAACGTGACACAGTAAGATATAAAGCGAAATGAGTCGCAAAAGCTTTCTTTTCCCCTCAGAACGCCCGTCTTCCGGACACGCCCCATGAACAGCGTTACCGCGTCTTGACACAATGCGGTGCTGCTTCTGCTCTCTCCAAATAAAGCCAATGAAACGCAATGGGGCTTAACTCTTTACTTATAAAACATAATGGAAATATTTCACATCTTTAGAAAAACAAATCGATTTCAATTGTACATGTTTAATTCAATTGATAGAACTTAATGATCCACCAACACATGACAGTCAAACATCTTTTTCAACAGTTTGATCAACAAGTGATGCTGGTTTCTCAGTTTTTCATGATTATGGTCACAGATTTTGATGAATTCTTTTTTTTCTCTTTCTAACAAATTCATAAACTCTGCTAGTTAACACAGAAGAGAGAGATGCATACAGGCCCATCAATTATCTTTATAATTATAATAACAATTATTATATAATCAAAGATAAAATTGTATGATACACAAATGACTTCAAACAAACGAAAAAAAGAACAAAAGCACATCCGTCGACTCATGATGCTCCCTGTATTGTCAATATACAAACTGCACTTTGCTAACGGTGTCCAAAGAGCGATGATAAATAATAAAATCAGACAAGACAGGAACCGACAGCAGACTCATCTCCCCTCCACGGTTTCTCTGCTGAGAAAGCGAGCACTGAATGGAAAACGGGGGGAATGAAGCGCATGTCTGACATGAGCTCTTGTCATAGTGTTTCAAATGTTCTTTTTTCCATATCATGGGGTTAAGAGAAAGTTGACATCTGCGACAATAATAATACTATATCTGTACATATTTCACATGAATCCCAATGTTTTCCTTCTCAATTATGAGTGCGGCTATAAACATTAGTCCATTACCTGTTGTGACGCTCCCACCCACCCAGATTTGTCCAAGCAAAATCTCACTACGGGAAGGTATATGTCCAAAAAACGCCCTGTTTGTGACTCCTCGTGTGCATTTGTGTGTTTTGTAACCTGTCAACAAGGTGCTACTGGGCTGCTTGTG